CCGGACGCGAAGGGGCAGCAGGCGACGACGTTCGCCCCGACGCAGCTCCACGATTCGTATCTGTATCCGTACGCGATTCCCCAATACGACAACGACGTCCGTTACGACAATTACACGTTCGATTGGAGCGATTTGGGAGAAACGGCGCCTGGCCCGGGGGAATATCCGCTTGGGAGTCCACAGGAGCAGTCACAGGGACAGCCACAGGGACAGCCACAGGGAAAACCACAGGGACAGCCTCAAGGACAGCCCCGAGGACAGTCTCAGGGATATCCACTGGAACAGCCACAGGGACAATCTCAGGGACAGCCACAAGGACAGCCACAGGGACAACCACAGGGACAGCCCCGGGGACAGCCTCAGGGATATCCACTGGGACAGCCACAGGGACAGTCCCAGGGACAACTGCAGGGACAGCCCCGAGGACAGCCGCAGAGACAACCGCAGGGACAGCTACAGGGACAACCGCAGGGACAGCTACAGGGACAACCGCAGGGACAGCTACAGGGACAACCACAGGGACAGCCCCCCTATCCAAGCCAAATCCTTCGCAGGGTAATTCACTCCCACTTCTTGCCTAAGCGGAACGATGAAGCGACGAAATGCTTTCCTCACAGGTTAGGAAAAGCTTCATAAGAGAGAGATGCAACTCAATTTTCTTCTCTGTTCCTTCTTTCCATTCCGTTATTTTTTTTCAGTTGCCTTATTAAGCATCGATTTCTAGGAGTTGCATTAACAAGTCGACTGAATCATTTTTTTAAATTCCGGTTTGGGAATTCCGCGATGTTTGTGAGACGGAGTCAGGGTAGTCAAAATTTTCCGGGGAAATTTTTGTGATGCGAAAATTGGGAGGGAAAAAAAGGGGAATTTTACAAGTTTTTTTTTTTCAGTCCAATTCCTAAGCTGCTTAGGATCTCAGAGAGCGTTCTAAGTCCCTCTTTTTAAGCTCTTTTAAGGGGGTTAAAGGAATTAGGTGAAAAATATGTACATTTTTTGTCATTTTTAAGCCATTCATGCCGCTTGGGAACTGCGTTTCCCAAGCAGGAAAAATAAATCTGTCGCGTCAAGTTTCATTTTCTGCAAAACTTAACGTACTCTAAAAGCTGAAAATTAAATTTTTTATTCAGTTTCTGGAAAGCACATAAGGTGATAATTCACTCACGAATTTAGGCCGCTAAAATAAAAAAGGGTGCGATACGACCTTTTTTTTGCTCGAATTTTTTGCATGGATGAGCCGTGAAATTGGCTCTTGAATCGCCTTCGCCGTGAGATTCGTTTGAAAAGATTCCTGAAAAATTTCCGCCTTAAGAATTCGGCACAGAAATGGGTTCGAGAGCAATTAAAGGGCTCATCTTAAAGGACATTTAAAGGAACTCGTTTTAAAGGACATTTCAAAAGGACTCACTTTAAAGGGCATCTCACCCGGTTTGGCACGGTGGGACTTCTCATCACGGCCGAGGGTGAAAGGGTTCCGTGCCCTCCCGTCGAGCTCCGTGCCCTCCGGGGTCGGCCCGGGATTTTATTCGTCATTCTCGTTCAATCTTGATTTCCGGCCGACTTTTTTTTGAGCAGACACAAACTTGCGGGCAACCCCGGGGCAACGAGGCAACCCCTTTGCCCCGGAACCCGAGATCGCCATTCCTGGCAACCATCGACCCCCACGCGCCACGAGGACGAGAAAATGATTCTAACGACTAAGCCTAAGCCATTCGAACGACCAAGCCCAAGCCATTCCGCGGACCCTTTTCCGTCTCTCATCGACCGCGAATCTCGCGCAGGAAGACTCGAAGGCGACCAAGTCTCCCTCGAAGGAGTCCAAGACGCCGCGGAAAGACGCAGAGCCTCCCTCCTACGACGACATCTACGACGAATCCCTCTGGAGCGAAGCCCTATCGAGCGAAGCCCAGTCGGACGAAGACGAAAAGGAAGAGGGAGAAAAGGAAGAGGAAGACGGAGACGGCCTGGTAGGCGAACCGCTCGAGTTCGGCAACTACGAGCGACTCGGGATCGGAAGTTTCCTCGACGCCCTGGGGATCATGGCGGCGGGGACCTCCCTCATGTCCTTCTTCGGCCTGGGCATCCCGCTCCTCTGGGGAGGATTCGCAGGGAGGGCGATGGAGGAGACGTCCCCCGTCGCGATGGGGATCCAGAAGGCGGTGCAGGCGCAGTTCTGCAGGGAGAAGCTCCTGTGCCTAGCCGGGAAGATGATCGAGGAATCGCCGAGGGCTAAGGCTGTGGTGAGGTGAGTCTTCCAGGTGGAGGTGGAGGTGGGGGAGGAGGTGGAAGAGGGGCACGCTGTCGTTCGTGAGGCGTTTCTTCGTGTAGTTCATTCGATCGGAGCGGAAATGGAACAGGATATTTTTTTAATAACTATTCAAACCGTCTGCATGCGTTACGAAGCGGTACCTATCGAAAGACACCGCCTCCGCTTAGCGACGGTGGAGACATCTCGCGGAGGGGAGTCGCCGCCATTCGCCCTGCTGATCGTTTCGCGTTCCTCGGGTCGCGAGAAGTGGAGCGGGATCGTGCAAAAAACACGCCAGCATTAGCGTCGTTCCTGGCCAAAAAAAAAAAAAGAAGAGAACAATTACACGGAAAGGACGCATGAAACGTAATTTGATTCCAACCTCGCTCCTACCGGATGACGCCTCTGCCCTTCCACCGACAAACACTCGATCGACCGTTGAAACCCATCCCACGCTTTCCCCGCAGATTGGCCGCCGTCTACTCGCCCCCGACGATCGCCGAGATGGCCAAGGACGTCTGGGAGGCCAGCCGGGGCAAGAACTGCCTGGCCGTGGTCTGCGAGGTGGACTCGCCCGGCTCCTCTCCGCCGACGCATCCGCCGCCGGTGAGGCTGCAGGATGCGGGTGCGAGATGACCCAGTGCAAACCGTGTGAAGCGTCCGATTCTTGCTCGCGGTGTTTTTCCGGATTGCTCGTCCGCGGCGCTGCGATCGAGTCGACTCGAGGGACATCGAGCGAACGCGGTGTGAAGTGAGGGCTGAGCGGTGCCCATCATCCGTGAAGACGCAAGCGTCATTTGTGTGTTCCAGCAAGAAATTTTGGTTCGGCCGTTGGTGTAAAAAAAAAAAAAAGTTTGGAAAAGCAATCCTGAAACACTGCATTGGTCACCCATCCCTCTAGTCGTTCCTAGTCTTAACCCTTCTCAGGTGCCATTATTTATTTCCCATTCGCGGATGGGATTGCAGCTTCTTAGACGGGTAGCGACTCCTCTTTCCCGTGACTTTGTGAAAGCGAAACATCCTGAATAAAATGTTTTAATGTCTTTGAATGTCTTCACGTTCTCCATTGCAGGTGATCGCTTGCACGACTTGGCTGCATCGTTGTGGGGAAAAAAAAAAAAACTAAACAGGGAGAATGAAATAAATTCATCGCTGAATTTGTTATGAACCTCCTCAAACCAGCAGAAAATAAATGCGAAATGTATCGGCGCGGAAACAAGCCGCTTCGCTTCCAAGAGGTTAAAGGCTTGGTTAAAGGCTTAGTTAAAGGCTTGGTTTAGGCGAAGACAAGTTCTTTTTCTCTTGTTCCATGACGGGCTCGACAGATTTGAAAGATTCCTTTTTGATTTTCAGCCAGAATGGGCTTTTCGGAGTTGAGCTTGTTGTTTGGTGCTCGGCAGACTAAAAAGCACACTGCAGTATTCCCGGAAGACCATGCAATCTTCATTCGTCAAGCCTCAGGCATCAATAATGATTAAATCCTCATCGTCAGAGGCTGCTCGTCTCTCATCTTCACCAGTTTCGATCAGATGAGGTCCTTCCACATCGGGGAAACAGGCTATTTCAGATCACATGGAAGTATCAAGTCAAGGTCAACAGGAGACGTATTTCGCAGTTAAGAGTGAATTACTCATAAACCTTTTCACGGGTGAATTTTTTTCGAGCAAAATAAAAAATAAGCCTTTTTTGGTTGAATGTTTAAGTATAACTTGAGTTGGCTGCATGCACCAAAAGTTTCGAGGTATGTGTATCATGGCTATAAAAAAAAAATAACATCATCGCCAATAATTTCGCCATCCACTGTAGTGGATACCATGCGTGAAAGGGTTAAAGTCCTTAGCCATTCAATCGCCTGCATGAAAGGTCTCCAAGTGTGCATTATTTTCTCTGTTCAAGCAGAGAAAATGTTCACATGCTTTACACAGTAATGGTCAGTAACTGGCGCCTATAACTTTGATCCAGGCCTTTTCTAGGCCAATTTTTTAAATAAAGAATCCTTCAGAATCGGAGAATTCCACTTGCTATGAGAAAACTCTGCACCTCAGGTATTAGCATCACCAGTCACAGCTGGAGAGAACCTTAACTGACGAATTTCAACCAACTATACAAAACTGAATTTCCTTACTTTTATTAAGTCAAAGGCTGATCAGACTTTGACTTAACTTTCTGGACTTACTTGAACATGAATATCAAATTGACTTTCAGGTATTACAAATAACAGAGTTCTTAGCCATTTTCCATGGTTGATGCCAATGCATATCCAATGATCATCATCAAGATTGCCTTCTTCAGTCAGAACTACAGGGCCAGTCACCAGTCTAGAACCATAGGAATTTTCACAAGATGTGTTCAATATGAAGTTCGTTATTTGTTTTTGTTATTTGTACACTGATGCATCCTTATCAGCCATTCAAGATGAACTTGCACTTCCTTTCCCATAAAAATGGATTATTTCCATCTGCTCTTCTTTAGTCAGATCCATCTTTCACCTCAAACTCAAATATTACAAATTACCAATGGTTCCAGACTTGTGACTCACCCTGTATTTTATGTGCACTGTTTATCCTGGCCTATTGGTTTGCACCACGTAGGCAAAGTTCCATTAAAATCTGTTCTATTTCATTTCATAATTTAATCAACAATTTTCAGAGGGGGCATTGCAATTTTTAAAATTAAGTTTTAACCAATCTAAATAAATATCTGAGAAGATGGGTGAAGAGTGCCTTTAGACTTACATGCTACAGAAGGAACATCATCTTGAGAAAAAAAAACTCATTTTATTTTGAGAACGTAGATATTCCAACACAAAATTTCTGAGAAATAAACCAAAGATGTACGTTGGATCCTGCAGTATGATTCCACAGCTCTGTTTCCAAGATGGTTCTTTTATTTACTATACTGCAAAGCAGAACCAGATACCAAACTGGAGAAGATTGCCAAGACAGCTTCATATTAGCACAATCTCTCAGCAAGTAGAGGACAGAGGGAGAGAGGAAGAGAGTGAGTGAGAAAGAGAGAAAGCAGAGAAACTGATGAATGACACACGAGAACACCGTCTTGGTACACTCAACTCATTCGTCGAAGTTTTGCGATAACAAGTAGTTGGCAGCCAGATTCTCGTTCTTGTCACATGCAAAATAGGCCTCTATGACTTGGTGCTCGGGGAATCCCAAGGCTTTCAACTGCAAAATATAAAATCAGAAAAAATGACTTTAAGCTGAGCATAATCATTACAAAGAACAATGGCTTTTGAAATTTGTTTCAGCTGTTCCTAACTGAATGACAATCAGCTACACATAATTCTTCCAGTGCTCTTATCATTGGCACTTGTTACACTGATTATAAGTTGTGTCAATTTCACCAAGAACATTCACCTAGCATCGATGTCAGCAGGTTTTTTTTTACTGACTATGACATAAAAGTACGACTGCAATGTCTTATAAAAATAGAGTGCTCATTATATCATAGCATGCAGAGGGTCCATGTTTTTCCTTTCAACATAATAATTCATTTTATGGAGGGACAAATTAGACAATAGTGCCATATATGAAAATTTGCAGAGCAAAATGGCTCACTTCAATACAAATTTCCAGCCTCATTAGATCTGGTGACAAAAGTAGTAATATATCCCAAAGAAAAAAGGGCATTGACTGACATAAGAGGAAAAAAAAGCCACCAAACTGAATTCAATTTACAAGGCAACATCTCACTTTGGAGATCTGTTGTCTAGGCTAGGACGAACCAAGTCAACTGGTTGCTCTGACCAGCCTTCACCAGTGGTTGCCCCTCAGGTCAAAGGCAAGCAGAAGCTTTCTTTCTAATTCTTCGAAAATCTTTCTTTTTTTTTGACATCAAGTTACTATCCTACTCCTCCTCCAAAAAGATGGCAACAAGTCCCCTCCATTCTCACAACCCTAACTTCAGCATAATTCAATTGCAATGAATGCATGGAAAGCCTCATAATTAATTTTGCTACATCCAAATTCAGCTAAATGCAAAAACTTGCTTAATGCCTCTCAACATGGAAAGGAATGAATAAAGGTAAGGGAATTAATGAAAAAAGACAAGAAAGAGAAAGAAACATTCCCTTGACACCATTGACTGAATACAGGAGAGGGTGGGACAAAGAAAACTACATTGAACTGCAGCAGCAATGAAGGTGAACATACCCTTTCGATGGCTTCCTTGTCGGCTGGTGTGACATGAATGACCCCGGGAATGACATCACCTGGCCCACCACCACTTCCACTGTTTGCATCACCGCTTACCGTCGACCCTGAAGCAAAATTAATGCAAAAAAATCAGAATCAGATATATATTGTCATTTCGGGAATGAAAAGTGAAATTGAAATTCCTGAGATTCGGACATAGTATGGTATTAAAAAATATCACATTCAAGACAAAATCTTGGCCACACCATTTCTAAAACCACATTCATCCCACCTCAGGGCACTCCCATCAACAAGGCTGTCATAGAATATGGCAACAACAGAGTGGGAATTTCCAAGACAGCACTGATGACTTTAACACATTCACTGCCAGGGATTTAAATTAAATGACCATTAAACCCTCTGGGCCAGGCATATTTGCTGCATAGAAGGTGTTTTCAAACTATTACACAAAAAAAGTATAACTCTAAAAAAAACAATTGTAATCACTACATAAATGTAAATATATCAATTCCTAGATGCTTACTCTATGGTCTATAATGGCTAGGAGACATCTGAATGACATCTCTCCAAGAATTAAGTAACTATTAGGAAGACAGCATAAAACAGCTACAGTTACATATGGCAGTGAATGTGTTAAGGACAAAGGGTTACATTCAAGGACATTTTACATTCACTTCACAAATACCAGCAATGCAACTAGACATGCTACATGAATACAAAAGTTGTACCTGAACTTGTAACTTTTATTAGCTTTCCTTTTTGCTTCCTAAATGTATTGCCTCAAAATCTGTGACTGTGAAAGCTGATTATAACCCATCTTCAATGGAGTGATTTGGAGCACAATATGAAACCCCAGAGTGACAGAACAACAAATTTGTATCTTGCCTCAAAGTTCAAAGTCCAGATTCAAACCATGGAATGACATTTTGAATTCCAAGAAAACGAGAAGAGGGTGGGACTGCTTATTCATCAAAACTACTCATGTTCAAATGAAGTGTTCCATTGCTTGGGGTTCACCACACTTTTTCCTTCCAATTCCATGCAAGCCTTGCAGAATTTTTCACACTCCAGGTGAGCAAGTTTAAGAGGCCGGTGAGTATTCTTCAGGAGCACACAAATTCCTTTGCCACTATTGTTATACTAATGTTATGTTATTTTAAAGTTAATCCTAGTAATGCTATAACAACAAGTCACTCAAAGCAGGTAAACTAGTGGGCCTGACTGGCATCTCTCAAATATTACAGGGTTAAGAGAGTAGTGGATAATCTTCATATTGCAACATTGTGGATGTTCTATCTTCAGAAGATGCAAGAATTGCACCCAATGATGCTTGTACTTGTACTCTGAAACACTGCTTGTACTCTGGAATACAAGTCCTGCATTTGAGGCCTGACATTCTCTGTCCCCACTATCTGCCTCTGGCTCTGGCCATCTGGCTATTGCCCACCCCCTGCTAAATTTTTACCCTTCCCCCTCCAAATCTCCATTGCAGCTTTGCCAAAAAGCTTGGACAAATAAGGTTTTGGGCAGGTCTTCATTATTTTTTGCCCTCCTTGTGCCTTACATAATGATGTAGACTGGCAACTATAGATATGTCACTGTCCAAGTAAATGTCTATCACTCATGTCAACCTTCCTGCACGGCTCATGTCATGCTGCTGATCAACCAGGAGTTCATATTTCCTTCCTCTAAAAATATACTTTAAAACTCATCTCCCATTTTGCTGTGCAAAAAAAAACCCCCATCTGGTATAAGGTCCTTCAACAGGTGAAGACCTTAACACTAACCACCTGATCCAGCAGGCTCATTTAGCATGCGAATGAAGGCTTCTTGGTTCTGGGAGATGAGTTGAAGCAACTGCGGGTTACTTTGTCCAATCTGCTGCAGAACGGTGTTCAGGAGGCTTGGATTGCTCTGAAGCACCTGTCGCATTTGCTGGAATTGGGGCTGACTCCTAAGGAAGCTCAGGGGATCTGCAATGAAAGTGATGCCAAGAAAAGATACAGTTTATGCCTGAACCACATCTCAGTGATGTAGATGAATCTATAAAAATGAAGGATGGAATTCTCTATTTGAAATGCCTCTTGAAAGTTACAATTTTTGCTATGCTTTGCTGCTTGACTTTCTATAATATTCTCAATTAACCCTTTCTCTGGTTGGGATATCCGAACACTTTGAGGATGTCAATGTAAAACTACACTGATGCCAAGGAAAGGGTTAATATAATACAACCCCTGCCACACTAAATAAACAGGGATATTAACATGAAGAGGAAAGCTCAGGTTACAAGTCAAGAAGTCCTTCCTAACTAAAAAAGATAGGTAGCCTCTCAGAATAACTCTCTTCATGTAACATGCCCATGAGGCCATCATTTGCCTTAGAAATGTCAACATGGCTCAAGTGTGTGGTGTGTTCAGCATTGGATTTTCCTCACTCATTTGTTCACAACAGAAAGACAACACTTCCTTTTCCACATAACCTTTTCAGTTACAAGCACTCATCCACACCATTCATTCCAACATATATGATATCAAAATCAAATCCCTCAGAATCTAGTTGAAAAACATCAACACATTCAGAATGCAGGCATCACAGGATAAGAGTCTCAATGCCATCTCATCTCAAAGGATGTTCACTTTCATAAAGATCAATCAAAATCACCCCAGCCAATAAAACAAGAACATGGAGCATCCCATCATTTGGAAATAATCAACATGCTTAGGCTAAAATAAGTAAGGGTTGATCTGAACAGGGATTAGAGCCTGGAACAAACTGAAATAAATAAATTTATGAAGACTTACAGTATTGATAACAATATTGAACAAACCATCTGTAGTAGGAGCTGTCTCAATGCCTCGAGTCTCAGCTTCTTGTGACTCTATGCTGCTTTCTTGCTGGGGCTCTGAGGCCGAAGCAGGTATACCCGTTAATAAGTATTCCACTGCGCGATCAGGATTGTTGTAGCTTGCTCTTAATGCCCTCTCAACCTTTAGGAGAGGGAAGGAAGAAGAAACTTCCAATGGTGTACAAGATGATGATGACATGATGGGTGGATATGGAATTGTATGCATCAGAACAGGAGTCCCTAGATTTTTGCATGCTTCACATGATCCTATCAGCCATCAAATCAAGCCGATTCATTTTCAAGCTAAATTCACAAGAATATACACAACAGTTCCCTTCAGTGTACTCTAACAAAAATTGAGTCTACTTGAGGCATCACTTCTGCAAATGCAACCAGCTTACTTAAGATGCAGAGAAAATGTGAAGAAAATCCAGAGCTGCAGCATGGAGCAACAAATGATAGGCAGATAAACTGAAGATACATGCATTCATATCTACACAATTAATAAACTAGCCTTGTTTCTTTTATTTTTTTACTACTAAATAGAAGGCTTGTTAATACAGTATGCAAAGTTGGGGTTTTCTAATCTATCCATATTTGTCAAGATTATGATTTCAAGTACCTGTCAGTTTTAAAACAAGTTTGTAGAGATACCATATCAATTACTTGACTATTTAAAATCCATGTGTCTCTGAAAAGTGAAGACTTCATGAAGTCAACATGGGAAATAAACAATTTGAACTCCTTCTGAGTATAATCCTGAAATTACTAGTTGAGATCCCTGCAATCATTAGAACATCAGATAGTCCAAGAACCAATGACTCTCTGTGTCCATGCAAAATGTCACAAAAAAGTCCACACAAAACTCACCTCAGCCTTCTCATATCCCATTTCCATTATGTTGCGAAGAACCTTTTCATACTCCTCGCCAGTCAGAAGAGCTGATTCTGGTGAACTGGATTCAGTTACCGGTACCCCAGTGCTCCCATGTGGTTTTGATGACCTAAATGCATCAATTTATTATTTTTCTAATAGTGGTAAATAAATTAATAAAAGAAGCACAGCCACGTACATCTTTGGATTTTATACTTTGACACACAATATCCTCCATTTAATATTCAAACCTCAGAGTTCAACAATCATCTGAGTTTGGGGCTACAGGGTAGAACAGCAATGTCTACTGTTCCCCATCTTGAGAATATTAATTGCATCTCACATCACCATTGAATAAAGTTGGGTCTCATGGCCTTCAAAACTCATTACTGTACATTGCCTTCACAACAAGAGCTACATCTTGTAATGCCCATTTCCAAAACATTCTCAATCTGCCATAGTCTGGATGTTTATGAGAAAAATTATGTTGACTGTCATTACTTGTATCACAGCATCTTCATCATGAAATTTCATACCTCATTGTGACTAGAAAGGCATCAACAAAACAGTAATTGACTTCATGATCAGCAATATCCCATGCAAAATAAATGTATTGCATGATACACACTCTTTCAAATATGGCCATGGAGATTTCCTAAGGACTTTATTGGGAGAAAAATTAAATACTTCATTGCTGGCATGATGTTGTAACCTTTGCTTCCTCAGTAAATTTCAATGAAAAACCCACCACATGAGTTCAATTGGGACCAACATAGGAATGAGAACATGATTACTCACCTCTCAGTTGGCTGAGAAGGGGCCGGAGGAGGGCTTCTTGCCTTTTCTTCTTTGGGTTTTGAACTCTCTTCCTGTTTCTTCAGGGCTTCTGCAGCAGCCACAGTCGGGTCAGAAGGTCCAGCCGGTGGGGCTGGCTTTGGTTTTGCCACCATGATGACGACAAACTTCTTCTCATCTATGTGATACTCACTCAAGGGAGACTCATCATCCAATATTTTACCTAATGGAAAAGCCAGAGCTCTCATGCAGTAGGAATATAGCAAAAATAAATTAAATGAAAAACACTAGAAAAACATGAGCCAGCAGCAAACCTGCGTAAATCAATTTTTGAGATGATGCTTGATAATCTCTTCCTTTGATTCCCTCTATCTTCTCCTTAAGCTCTTTCACCTAGGGATAGACAATACATACAATCAATTTAGGAGCAAGGCATCAAAATCCCACACAATAAGCAAAATAACCCTGAATAAGAATGCGAAACTTGACCAAAATGAAAGAAAAAATACAGTCGAATCCGGTTAATTGGACCACTGGTTAATCGGACCAGCCGCTTATTTGGACCGAATCCTAAAGAACCTAAACAAATCCTATTGCATAAGCCTAATATTATTCTCTTATTTGGACCAAAATTCCGTTTAATCGGACCAAAGAACGTGAGAGCGAATAAGAAAAAGAAGCCACAAGTCGCCCGCGTAGAGCGGATGTAAAGCGGGTCAGCACATATGGGAGGATCCCTGGGCTCCCCTGGAGAATTTATGCTTTTATGAAAGGTCAGGAAGTCCGAGAAGTTGTGTTGACGAGAGCAAAACCAGTGGGAGGTGAACACGCCCACCACTTTCATTCCTAAAACGGACCGCCCAGTAGCCGGCAGCGAGGTTATTGGACCCATCTGTATCTCTGCTTTTCGGCGAAATGAAGTCAAGCGTAAACAAGAGTGTCTGGCATCACATGCAAGGAATTTCCTCCTGTCAATCAGGATTAAAGTTTACACAGGAAAGCTATCATTTCACCACCCTTTTGCTTCAAAAAAGTCAAACTTGATCTCTATTGGATGCTTTTAGTGCCGAAGCTTTGAATGGCGAGCATTTTGTCTCCGTCCTGATCTCCATATCTTGACCCCGAAACACCAAGGTTTCATCAGAACACTTTAGTCAGTGCACTGTGCGTGTCTTCTCTCCCCTGCCAAAATGCCACGGCGGGACTTGACGTTAGCTGAAAAAATTGGTTTCCTGGATCAGATCAAGCAACAACCAAACACTAGTCAGCGTCAGTTGGTGGAAATTACTGGCTTGGCAAAGACTACAATTGCGCGCTTGATAAAACAAGAGAACGAGCTGCGAGAAGAATGGGCACAATGTGAAGGACAACGAGGAACTTCTCAAAAACGGAAGCGTGAAGGCAAGGATCCAGACGTCAATGAGGCCCTTAACGAATGGTTTGCCATTGTTACTGGACAAGGTGTGCGAGTAAGCGGCCCAATGTTAAAGTGCAAAGCAGAAGAACTCGCTTGTTTGTATGTTCGCCATATGTGTGTGCCGCACAATAAAGGTCATAGTGACATTTTATTATGTTACGTATAGCACGTCCCGTCTTGTAACATAGGGCATGTTCGTGTAATCGGACCAGCCGGTTATTAGGACCAAAATGATCGCATCCCGATGTGGTCCGATTAACCGGAATCGACTGTACTTATGTTTTAAGTCACATTATGAAAAGATGAAATATCTATTACCTACACAAGCAAAATCTATCCTGCGTTTTAACTCAAAACAGTTCCATTCCATGAGACAAATATGTTAAAGTTGTTTTGCTTAGTCAGCTTACAAAACTTTAGAGGATTGTACAGGATATTCATTTAGCTGCTTTTCCTCCAAGATTTTTTAGTTCTTTGGTTCTTTATGAATCATTATGTTACTACTCTTACTTTAAATTTTTTACGTATAGATACTTTGCTTTTAGACGTTTTTTTACGGTAGTTTGTACCTTACTAGACTTTTATTAAATCTTACCTTGGAGTTACCATCTATTTCTACTTCAAATGTCTGCTGCTGAAGCGTCTTGATTGTGATCTTCATGATGTAATATGAATCTCCTTCGAGTAGAGGAAATAAAATCTGCACAGTTATCAACTAGTAAAAGATTGTTGGCGTGGCATGAATTTTTTAATCATGCAGTTCTTGGTCACATCCTGGAAAGATATTGGCTATTAGCAGTACTAAAGGTCCATTTTGAACACTCCTGCACTAAAGAAATGAAGCAGTAAGCATAAGGGAGATGGAGCCAAAGAGAGAATAATCAGCAGGTGGGTAACATTACAAAGGGAAAGGTATGATAAGGGAGTTTTCTATGCAAAGACACCATATATTTGGGTCATGATGCATGAATTTAAAAAATGTAGCACCTATTTTGAGGATTATTTACATCACTAAAAACTTTCTACGACTCCAGCTGTTAGGAGTATTTATCTCACAGGAGTAAATATCTGTACATGTGTGGATGACTTGGATTAAATCAATTATCAGAGATGTGGAAGAAAGAAAAAATTAGTACTATTAAGGGGATGACTTCAACCTGATGCCAGAGGAACTTCTCATAGAGTCCCAGTTACATAAGAGCCTAAAATATTCCATCTCTGACTAATTGATAGCTAAGTGCACAGCTTTACACAAAGAGCAATTGGAATCATGCTCCATAAATCAATTAACATTTATCCAAATTCAAGTCATGATAAGCTTGACATAAAATCTTCCTAATGAGCTCAAGGGAAGCCTCTGATCTAAACTTGATTCTTGGTTCCTCCCCACATCTTGTTGCATATGCTTACATTTACAATAAATGCTATATACTTCATATGGCCCAATGATAACAACAAATGTTACATGCTGTCATTGGGCTTCCCTCCCCTACTCCCTCTTCTAAGAGTAAATTGTGCACAAAAGATAACCTCTTAAGTAATACAAATATACAGCTACCACCAGTCCCACCCTCCAATCACAGGCATGCAAGACTACATAGACCAATGTTAGACTGAGAGGCCTAGGCTCATCTTTGACCTCAAATATTATCTGTTTGCATGATTCAAAACGGCCAACAGTTAACATTCGGGCCTGCGTAACGGCACGGTCTAACTTTAGACTTGAAAGAAGGAAGTGTCCACTCAAGCAAGACCGTACTTCTAGCTCCTGTGATATTGCTTTGAGTAGTGTATGATAAACGTGTGCTGCCTCCCTCCCCCCTCAAAGCGGGTGGATTTAGACAAGTATATTTACTCGGATGAGAGATGACTCCCACAGACAATTGTTCGTCATGGTTCTTCCAAAAAATACCATCTCTATTCTTTGGAAGCGCTCGCACAGACGATGACCGTCTCGGAGAACGACCTCGCGTACGAATAACTTTCTTGCGGTTATGCTCACGTGTGTAAACCCGCCCTTCAACAGACCTTTTCCTTCACTCTCGACCTAGCCCTCTATACATATAAGGGATGAGTCACCTCCCTTCGCTTTTTGATGGAAAGCCATAGAAGACAACATAATTTAGGCTTATCACATTCCAGCCAGTGACAGTTTAAAACGTAGCCTTTAGTTAGTGCAATGTCGGACGTTTGCGACAAGAACAGCATGGCTGCGGACTTCTCCACAAACGTTGGGCACAGCTCGTGCCGCCACGCTCACTGCGAGTCGCCATCGTGCACAGTCTCAGTGGCGAGTAGAGACCTGCGCGGCTCTATTGGGCCGATCTGCTAACGAAAATTTATTCAAGTCAGGCAGCCTGTTCTGTCAGAGATGATCCATAGGCAGCCCGACTGGTCTGTCTGTCGTCTGCTAGTGTTTTCTTTTTTTATGACAATCAAAAAATTATGCTGAGGAAAACCCCGCATGGAATTACAAGGTCGCGGTAGCGGCTGATGGTAAATTGGACCCCGAAGCAAACATTTTATCTCGAATCTTGCATTTCCCCCTGTCCCGGCAGTTGGTCTAGGTCCCAAAGAGAACAGATGTTAGGTGAATGTTTAACAACCATCCAACGCTTCCTCCCCTTAACTTGCGCTGCCATCTGCTCTCCCTGCAAAACTCCTGCGCTTCTTTTTTCACCGTTTGAATAAACAAAATAACTCTGACATTTGTTGATTCAGAACAAGGATTTTTTTTTTCGACGACGTGGCTAACTGAAGCCTTCCGTAATGAAAGACGGTCCACTGTTTTTCAGTCTAAGTTTAGCAGGCGGCCCTCACTTCGCGAATGGAGCTGACGTCACGACGAACTCGCTCGCGAGAAGCTACTGCGGCGAATCTGTGAACCTTGGACTCGTTCAACCCAACGAAAGAATCCTTCGAGGGACCTGAAATGCGCCGTCGTGCGTCCGAGTTCCGCCCACGATTTACCGACTGAGAAATAATGGAATTCTTCAACTTCCTTCGCCGAATTCGACGTCACACGTTCGCACGGATTAGTTCCGCAAATGCGCTATTGATCCCTGTGCTGCGAGATCTGACCCCGGCAGAATCGTCAGGGAATCCATGAGCAAGAATGTGGAATGCAAAGCATGTTCCCGTCTTGGAAGAAAGCCTGAAAGAGCAACGAAGGAGGAATTCCATGTTCCATCTCATTTTCCCTTTGTTTCTTTTTTCTCCGTTTCCAACTGAAGGATGCCTTTTCTCCTCACACGAGTGAAACGAATTCCATTGCGGTCCCACCTGTAATTTTTATTCAGCACAATTCCTCTCGCTTTTCAGCTTCTTGAATTTTGCAATGGGCTCCTGGAAATACCAAAATCTATCGTACCCTTCTCATTCGTTTCTTATCGAATCCAGTGTCACGTATTTTACATACATTGTTCGGAATGTTACATATGAAAAGTAACATTACAATGATAACATTGGATCCTATAAGTAATTCGTTAAAAGTACTAGTTACTTTTCCCGAGCTCTGTTGGCTTGCAACTACTCATTATGACGGTATTCGGGTGAAATCCCGCATTGTATCCACCTTCGCATTCCATGGAGGATTCACACACGCCGATGAAGCATGGAGAACCAACCGGCTCTCCGTGCTTCCCGAGTTCTGCGAGGGCGCAGCGAGCATTGGCTGGCGCGGAGTCAGGAGCATGCGCTGCTCTCGCGCGAGTCCGCTCTTTGCTGCTTCTCCAAGCTGGAAATTAAAACCTGATTGAGGCGAATTGACTCTCCGCAGAGGCACGGGCTCGCGGTTGATGGAACTGCGATAAATGGCTTCTGGACGACGAAGATGAATGTTGAGATGCTCGTTGCTTTCACGTGAAGTTGTTAGTCATCACGGAAGTAAAGGGTTACTGTAGTGCACTGAAGTTTCCTTTGTAAAAGGAACTAGTTTCCGCTTCCGTTACTTGTACCTGTAAAGTAGCTCTTGACCACTGAAATTATCATAAAATGTAACGCGTCACAATGGCGTGCAATTTATTTAATGAAGGACAGTTTTAATAAAATTCTTGTACATCTCACAGCAAGACCCAAGATGATCCTTCGGCCAGGGTCGGACTGGCGGCCCCGGGGCCCCTCGGGAAATAAATGAGGGCCCCTAAAACAATATTAATTTTATAACTGCATCATATTAATAATTTCTACAGCCTTACACAATTTGGCAGTGCTCATGGAATCAATATCAATCAATTAGCTGCAATTAATGTTCACCATGTGCACTAATAATTTTTTATCAGGTCGGAGGGGGGGGGGGCGGCCCTGGGATATTACCCGGTATCCTGGTGGGCCAGACCGACCCTGCTTCGGCTGATTCCAATTATGATCCTCATATATCCTTAGACACATCCAACTGTACACCCTGGAGTGCATCCCTGCGAGCTTGGCAATCTGTCAGAAAACCCACCTTCGCCACCCAAAGGTGGATTTAATAAATTGGATCGAAGCACGATATAAAATCAAAAACATATATTAAAATATGGAAATGTGTTCAGAGAAAAATACAGAAAATGTTCAACACTCTGTATGCATGCAAATAAAATGCTGCATATTCGCAGTACAGGAGTCAAGATGGTGGATCTAAAATAAAACAAAACAAATTCCATGCCGAGGCAGTAATTCACAACATTTTCTTGTGTAAAACATGTTCCTTCCTCTCCTGCTACCACTAACCATCTTCCTAAAAGCAATAATTGATTGCTTCATCGAATCACAGGGTTACAAGAACAAGGTTAATCAAAACTATCATATTGTCATTCTTCCAGTGATCTATGTAGAACACAGGTTTGCATCAGTGAAATAAAAATTAGATGGGAAAAAAGTGAACAATTTTCTGGGAGAAGATTCATGGCTAGCAATATACCTAAAGGAGATATAGGAAGGACAATCTAAATATGGATGCCTGGGAATTTCAAGAGATTTCAAGGGTCAAAACATACATCCCTTCATGCAGTATGGATGGTAAATGGAACTCTTTAGAGGCAATACTACTCATTTTTTCCATTGCAGATGGATAAACACACTTCAAAATGGTACTCTCACCATCATGGCACCTTAGAAGACCTTCACAGTTAACTCGTAAATTAAAATGAAGATTTGTTACAAAGAGGTTGCTAAAATTCCTTTGGCAGGAAGAGGTGATAAATGACCTTGGAACTATTGAGCAAATAAAGAACATTTGAACTGTCATATGAAAAGAGGGCTATGAACCATTCTTGGTTTCTGCAGACAACCATTGTGACTCATAAACTGCAGTCCCTCCAGTCAACTGTGGCAATGCGTATCACAGTCTGTCAGGCAGTGTTTCATATGCTTTTCACGTCATAAAATATTCCAACTTTGAAAATGGTTTCACATTCTATGGAGGTAACAAAGATGGCTCATTATCCTGGTCTTCATCTTCATATTTGAGGAATGAGGAAAAAATGGAATTGGAAACCAGGAATTTGGAAGCATTCTCAGAACCAAGAGAAGATAAGCCTGTCCTTGGATCATTATTCACTGGAAAAGTATAACTTTCTTCATCACTACTTTGGACCAGGGCTTCACTTGGAAACCGAGAAAATAATGAACTACGGCCAGGTCTGCATTCACCCATTTGCTCTTTGGTAGCACATGGCAATCCCTGTGCCCCAACACATTTCAAAATCATATTTTCTTCATAGATTGTGGTATCCCATAATGTATTTGGGAGCATTGGTTTGTTCTGAACTCCACCTGGGAAAACATCAGAGTCCTCTGATTCAGATGAAGATTCACTAATCAGTTCAAATGATTTCCAGGATTTTGTATAGCACCCTATATTTGATAAATCTTTTTCTTTGCTTCTCTTATGTTGCCTTGAGGAAGTCCTCCCCTTCAAAGCAACATCTGTACCTGTCTTCTGGGACTTCTCTACTGGATATTGCATACCAGCACAATTCTTAGTCAAACTTCCTTGAAGGCTGGTAGGTTGGGTGGAAGCTTCTGAAACAATTTGATTATCATCAGCTCTGACATCTATTTGGAGATCAGAGCCCTCAGATTCAGATGAAGTTTCAGAATCACTAATTAACCTATATGACTTCCAGGACTTAACCTTCCCTGAGTCTTCTTTCTGTTCCCTTCTTTGTTGAATGTGGCAAGTACTTGTCCTGGAAGTGACAGCTCTTTCTGTCTTCTTTTGGCACTTTGTCACCAATGGCTGCATCTCTACATAATCCTCAGATTTCACATTTTCTGGACAGCTGGTAGGGTTTGGGAGATCATGTGGGAGCACCTGATCCTTCTTCACTCTTAGATCAGGGTGAAGATCAGAGTCTCCAGACTCAGATGAAGATGAAGATGAATGGATTACCCTTCGTGACTTGCTGGACTTCATGTCCCACACTTTCCCCAGGTCTTTTGGAGTGTAAATGGATCCATGAAACAAAATCCCTTTCAGTGACACAGATTTGGTCCATGAGACATAGTCACAGGAGGAGGGTTTTGCCTGTTCATTCCATGATTTCCAGTGGCTCAAGACATTCTGTAAATTTGAAAATTCACTCTCACTTCCACTACCTGATGTAAGTTTTTCCTGAATACCAGAAGCTTCTTGAATATCACATGCCCACTCTGAATCCTCATCTTCATTCAGAAAAGAAAGAAACTTTTCCACCTCCTCTGATTGCATCTGGGAACTTTCAAGGGGTAATTCCTCTACTGGAAGATCCAAATTCACAGATGTAGACCCATCTACATCTGAAATCTTGGCAAGAGGGCTTTCAAACAATATCTTATGTTGTGCCTGACAATTAATGTCCAACAACTTGGAGTTCCAATGTAAAAATAGAGACTGATGAGGATCAATCAGGCTACATTCTCGAAATGGGTATCGTACAATGGGAGCATTGCAGCGTGCTAGAGGGATGGCTTGTTTGATGATTGAGTCATTGAAGGCATCCACTTTCACAGAGCAGGGAAAGGTTGGTATCCTCACCAACCGGCTCTCTCGAGCACCAGTCTCCTGGAGCCACTCATCAGCCTCTTTCACCTCTGTTTCACAGCAGGGGTGATCCCACTCCTTCAAGATTCCCTGAGACTCTTCATCAGTCCATTGCAGTGACCCATGCATCTCAGACCACTTGTGGAGACGGCAGCTGAAGCACTCAACAAACTTATTCTTTGGCTTTTGGTTGTTCAGCTTACTCCACAAAAGCCTGTTCTTCCCAGAGAGTCGATGCAATGGTCGTGCAGGTTTTGGCTTTGCAATCCCTTTGGTATGGTCCCCTGTGGAAGAAACATTAATAAAAGAATATGTGATTATTCAGAGTATTTTAAGTTGGGCAACCAGAATTTCCATTAGTCAAAGGCAATTTACACTATCTCCAAAAAAAGACATGCGAGTTTACCAAAGTAGCAACAAACAACAATACTCATCATTCTATTTGAGGGATGTGACAGATGAAACAACTGAAAAGCAAGATATTCTCTGATATGTTAGGAAGGTGAGCAATGAAATTCTGCATATAAAGACACTGAAATGCAAAATGGTAAATATTTTCACTCAGGTGAAGTTTCAAAAGCTGTAAAAACAAAAAAAATAGATGAATATAATATGGTGAGGATATTAAGGCACAAAAAAGTGCAAAGTAAGCAAAGATAAAACTTCACAAAGTGGGCAGGGTAATGCATCTTTAGTGCTCAATAGCAGTTAATTTTAGCACATATTTCTATAAGTATATTACTTGAATTGCAAAGAATTGTGGAATTCCTTTTTCCTAATTGCTTTTATGTTATGTGACAATAAATCTGCTTTTATTTCCTGTGGCAAGTTACTGAAAATGTAATCCTGGGATAGTTTACAAATACAGATACCAAAACCCAGAGAAACAAATTCATTTTAAGCACAGAAACAGACAATAATGAAAAATTACTGGAAACCCACAAAAGATATAGATACTTACATTACATTCTAGGCATGTAGGGTGAACCTACAATGTAACTATAAAGCATACCAGAGCAGATATTCTTTTTATAAAAGACATTGTGGATACATGGATACAGAAACTCCCTTGAAAGGATATGAACTGAACATATGGAAAACCTAAAAAGAAAACATTAGGAAAGCCTGCAGCAAAGGAAAGGGATAACTCACAATACTACTAAATGATGTTCTATGAAATTAACAAAACTCGTGATCATGGAGAGGAGATTGTTTCAACACAATTTTACATTCAGGGCTTCATTTTCATGTTAGAAAATGGGTCTGATTATGGTGTAGTACATGAAAAAAAATCTAACTTATAAAGAAATGCATATCTAAGTAAAAGTAAAACCTACAATTTCTAGTTGCACAAAGGAAATTGAACTCTTTCCATTTCAATGAATGACAATGAAGATTAATGTTTTGAACTTGGAATTTTGTATATTATTATCCTCTATTCAGGAAAACCAAAGTCCTCCCTTACCTTTAAATAAATGGGAAAGATCATGCAGTTGTCCATGAGGTCTCCCATCCATGGGAGATGAACCTTGCTGGATCTCTGGATGGTCCATGATTGTCTCTCAGTCCTTTGGATCACCATGATTGTGACTCCAGTAATATAATTCCTCTAATTGAGAACTCATATTCCAATGACCAGGTGGTCATACAGAGGCCTAAAATGTATACATGAACCACTACTTTCTTAAAGGCCTTCATAGTCTTGTTAACAGCAAGACTACTTGTTCATACTGAAACAAACAAGGAACACCATTGACTGACAACATTCAGAAGTTCCAGAATACTTGATGTCATCATTCCTCAAATACAAATGACATGGATAAGCTGGAATTAACCATCTTCAGACATTAAATTGCCATTTACACATTGACAAAGACTTTTAGCTATGCCATGAAGTGTATTCTCCTTCACTTTGCTCACTTCATTTTCTGAAATGAACCCTTACCACAATCAAAGAATAGTTCTATGATTTGTGCCTCACTTAAGTTTCAGTGTTCCTGAGGTACAAATGTGATCAAGAGAAATAAGCCACTGGAACAGCAGTTATTATAATTATAATGCTATAGGAACCAAGGCTGATACAAGTTCACCCCGGGTCTACAGTCAAATGCCCCCTATGACATTTCCTTTATCCTCCATTCTCTACCTCTTGAACTGTCTGTCTTGATTCAATTTGTGTGGCTCACTCAGATTAACATCTGCAAGATTGTGGAATCTAAGGGAACTCCAACAATTACATCGTATCTATACGGTCAGGTCCCTTACAAGTTACTCATTTGTATACAATCATAGGCAATTGTGCACTGTGGCATGAAGCAACTTCTCAATTCCTTGATGAACAAAATCATGAAATTATTAATAAAACATGCAGACCTTTTCATGTATACCTAAGGTCAACCTCCCTTACATGCGTTAGGTAATAGGCCTAGACCAAGTGGAGTTTTCGCTGTTAACGTCGATTGTCAAGATGGCTGCCTTGCTTCAATTTCGACAACAAAGGGGGAATGTAAACCGCACGCAATAGCATTTCTCCTAAACCACATTACCTATCCCCAAAGTGACTAAACTTTTTACACGTTCAACTCGCACCGTCTTCAGTATCACCTATTGCCAACCTATGGATGTTCGGGAGATTCTTCCCTTGGAATTAAGACTGGCCCACATTAAACACAGCACGACTAAAAGTGAAATGAATTATCTCTACCCTTTTCTCTGCAGTTCCCAAGCTGCCCTCGTGCTACACTGAAAGGCATACCCCGCCATACTCACTGTGGGAACCAACAGTGATGCCATAACCCCCCATGACTTTTCCCGCCGCTCTTGTTCTTTTGAGTTTGCGTCAAATCAGATATTAACTGAGCACGTACAAGCTCCGACAGAGACCCTTGA